TCAACACCTTTAAACAACAGCACCCAAAAGCAAAGGTTCTGCTGTACGGCAGTTTGCCCTGCACGGGCGGGAGCCCATGGGGAAACGTCAACAAGCAAACTGAGGAAGGATTGGAACGCATTAAGGAGCAACAAAAGGAGTTCACCAAACTCTTCAAGAGCTTCGCCAAGCTCGTGCGTGACCACCTTGACTCAAGGACGTTTGTTGCCTTTGAGCTTTCCCGTCGCTGTCGCTATTGGCATTGGCCGTCAGTGTTGGCTTTCATCAAACGCCACAACTTGCAAGGATACAACTTCGATGGATGCATGTTTGGTGTGCGAGATGATCACGGTAATCTTATGCGTAAGAGTTGGCATATATGCGCAAATCTTCATGAGCTTGCATGTCTTGAGCAATACATGTGTACACATGATCACACTCATGGGCAAAGTAGAGGCAAGTCATTGAAGAGTGCTGAAGGTTACACGTTTGAGTACACTGATCTTGTTCACCGCTGCTTCAAGAATAGCAGCTCAAGCCATTCAGCCGCCGTCGCGCAGCGCGCCCTGCCAGCGATCATTGTTGATCACACCATGTCGGCTGACCAAGACATGCGCAGGGAAACCTTGGACATCTTCGAGTCGCACTTTCGGCAGATTGTGGCCTCTGGCTACTACCTCGAAGACGGATATTCTGAGGACGTGGACGCGGTGCTGAATGGCGTCCTTGGCCAGCACACAGCACATTCTGTGCTGGCGGGCCTGGTCGAGAAGAACCGATGGCTAGAGCCGGAGTTGGGCCCGTTGATTCGGACCTCACGGTATGATCTAGCCGCCTTCACAGGTGTGCCCACGAGCCAAGACTACCAAACGGTACATATCTTGATCTCTGATTCCACCTTGTGCTTGGTTAGCGGTTCGAAACGCAAACCCCAGAGGTTCGATCTGGCCGATCACTTTCAGGCCTATCGTCCAACTTACTGCAAGCATTTTCATCACGAATGCCTCTGGGGTGCAGAGTTGCCATTGTTGCTGAAACGAGCCCGTATTGCCGTGAGGAGCCTCAAGCGCCAGTTTCCAGGCTGCATGCTGCTGGTTGGTGTGGTATGGGCTGGCAACGAGCTCATTGGCAAGAAAGGAATTGAAGCCCAGACTTCATGGCCCTTCGATCATCCTGACGGCGATCACTACATGGAGCTACAGGAGAAGGCGCAAGAAGAGCTGGTCGGGTTTGCCGCCGATATGTTTCGATACGGTGTGCACTCGGCCGCTCTCATCAGCGCGCCCGATTCTGAGACCTACAGCTTCGCGCGGCAAGGACCCTACAGCGACTGGTTCAACCGGCTGAGTCAGTGGTTCCAGGATGAGGTGTATGGTTCTCAGATCGGCAAGTGTCGCTTCCGCCTAGTCAACATCAACGTCCTCAACATCCGCATGGACTTGCGTGACCAATGGCATTGCGAGAAATCGGACGAGAATGCAAATCATATGTTCTCATTTTGTCAGAGTGTATTCCACCTGCTTATGAGACTCTATGTTCTCGGAGATATCGCATTGGAAGTAGCTGCCACCAGTCCGATGAACCGTCCGCTCGGTGGACTTGAGCTTCGTGATGATCGCCTCCCTCCACATCAGCGATACGAAGAGCTACTCCGAAACCTTGCCGATGTCCGCCACAAAAGGGCAATCGCCGCAGCCGAGCTCACCGCCCGCGCCCTTACCAAGAAGGACGTCGCTGCGGAGCAGCCAAACCGTGCAGCGCCGATTACCGAGGCAGACATGGCCGTCATCGATGATGAGCCCGAAGGGGAGGAAGATGATCCAGACCTTTCGGAGATTTTCGTCGCAAATGACGCCACGGCAGAAAAGATCCTCCAGCAACGCCTTGATGTCATGGAGGAAGAGCAGGAGAAGATTGCTGCAGAGCTGGACATCAACCGAGAAACCTATGAGGGTCGGCTCCAGACGCTTGAGGAACTCAGCCATCGTGTTGAAACTGGCGAAAACCCAGCGGCATGGCTCGACATCGATGCCAACGATGATGAGGATGTATCGCCATATGAGGAGGTCGTGCCAGAAGAACATGAAGAAGAAAGCGCACCTCATGGCGAGGAAGGCTCGGCCGCCATCACTGGCGAGCCCGAGCCCGAGGCACCCTCATCGCCGCCGGCAGCTGATGCTGAAGAAGGCCACGTTGTGTGCCCTCAGTATCTTGCAGACCAATACCACGAGTACACGTACAAGATGGCCGAGGTCGATGGCGCCTTCCAGCAAGTGGTCCAGCTTGGCGACAAGCAATTGCCGCTCCACTTTGCGAGCGGATGGGAGCTCAATGGCGGGCACCTTTTCTTCGCGAAACCCCTCAAGGATTGGCTCACCCAGTTATCCAAAGTTGTTCGACAACATGACCAATATCTGGGCCTTGAGGTTGACGAAGATGGCTACGCAGACTTGGACGAAGTAGCCAGGTGTTTCGGCCTGAATCACCGCAGTGCCCCGCCGCTCACCGTCAAAGACTTGATCGCCATAGCAGCAAAAGACAAGAAAAACCGATTCGAGTTTTTGGGCATTCGAGAAGGGCACAAACTCGAGGAGAAGGGCGTGGCACTATGGCCTCTGAAGATGCGTGCCGCTGCTGGCCAAAGCAAGCACGCGATCAAGAGCGCACAGGACAATTACAGATCGGCAGCCCTGATGTACTGCAGTCCTGCGCTCAGGCCAGAAGCCAAAGCTCCCTTCATTGGGAAGCCCGTTGCCAAAGCGGATGAGATCCCTGTCTTGGCCTACCACCGCACGAGGCCAGCGTGCTGGAAGCGAATTGTCAAGGAGGGCCTTATCCCAGGCGGGGGCGAGTTTGTTGGCAGCGATCGAGCCCATGTCTACCTGGCTGCAAGTCGCATTACGGAGACCGACTATCAAAGCGGTCTCCGCGGCAAGCACCCTATTCAGCTTACCGTTGCACTTCGGGAAGCAGTCGATGGCGGTCTCATCTTTTTCCAGAACCGCTCCGGTGGGATCATGACGGTTGACACAGTACCTCCAGAATACATTGTCTCCGTCGAAAACACCGAAAGCCAGTCCACACTCTGGACCAGGGTAAGCGCCGTTGGCCTACCCGAGGCTGCTCCAGCGGATGGAGGTGAGAGCCGGGCCGCCATCACTGGCGAGCCCCGGCCAACCGCAAAAGCAATGCCTGTTTCCCTGACTGCAACCAGCAAATCAGCACCTGCAAGCAAGGCTGCGCCTTCGACTCCACCCACTTCCATCGTGAATGTGGCAGAGCAAGAGCAACCTGCAGCATCTTACAGCGGGTACGCTCCGCCTGAGCCAGCGGGGCCTCCACCTGGCTTTGATGCGCCGATCACCGCCCCAACACTTCGAAAGGGACGCAAGTTGACGGTGATCCAGGTTGAATGCAGCCAATGCAAGGGTCTAGTCCTCAGGGGCATGACCCACTGTGACATTTGTTCAGCCGAACTTGCCACCAACACCGAGCTGCCGGAGGAAGCTGTTACCAGACTTTCAGTTCTCCGAAAGCAGCAGCTTGCGAGGGCCGGCCTCGCTCGCACTGAGTGCCCAGTCAGCGACTACATCAAGGCTGGCCTCAACCTGCGTGTGGTGTCTGCAAGTGGCCGTGGAAACATGAGCCCAGAAGCGATCATGATCCAAGACGCTCGCAGCCGGATGAAGCGTGCAGACAAGTGTGGCTTCCAGAGCATCGAGGATCGCTTCGAGCATGACGTCCAGTTCATGGAACGAATGCAGCAAATGGGCTATGACCATCGGGCAGCGCAGCGGCAGGATTGGCTTTGCCATGCTCACTTGGCGAACCCGCCGCGTAACAAAGCGCAAGTCAGCCTGGGCCTTGGATATGACGAAGATCATTCTCTGGCACGGCTGGCCTACATCGACGTAGCGCCCGACCGCTATCCACAGGCCATGGACTACATTCCTGAGCAATGGTGCGTGATCTATCGCACAAACATCCTCTCCTTGCGTGAGTACATCGAGTACATCAACTCACCCGACTCCCATCGTGGCCTTTTGGCTTGGGACGGTGTGCATCAGATGAGTCAACACTGCGCAATGGAGGAGATTCGCCAGCTATGCCATGACAACCTCTCCGCTGCCAGGCGTGACGTGGTCAACAAGCAGACTCAAGAGCAGCGCCAGCAGCAGAGCAAGGGCAAGCGCAAGTCCTCCACCGGAGGTGATGGAACTCCAGCTTCAAAGGCAAAGGGAGGTCCGCCACCTTCACCGGTGAGCCCACGCGCATCCGGATCAGCATCGTCCTCGTGGGGATGGAGCTCATGGAACTGGAGCGAGTGGGGCGAGCAGCGGCAGTGGGACCGCCGCTCGTGGGACTGGAGCTCGAGTCGGAGCCAGTGGCATTGGCGTTAGTTGAGCCAAGTCTCAACCCTTTTGCCTGAGCGAGCATAATTCATTGCATGACATCCATTGTCAATATGTATGCGGTTTTCCTCCCAAGTCCAAACTTTCAATTTCTTTTGGCGGCGAGGGTGAATAATTAAAATGCACGTACAGGGCCACGTAGGCAGTGGATAGCTAGCATCCACAACTGCCATGCTGCTTTGTGCCGACATCACTGTCGTGCCCTGCACAAGCCCTCGTGCACTTTCCGCGTCCAGCTTCGGGAGCAAAGCTACCTTAGCTGAGGGGGGTGTATTTTCACTCCATGTAATATGTACATTTTGTACTTTGCACATAGTAGGATGTCATGTTACCTTGACTTCGCAGCTCGCGGCCCAAAACAGGAGTTGCAGCTTAACGGCTGTTTCTATAGGAATAGAGGTTTATTTCTGACGTTTCCTTACGGAAATCCAAGATGCGAGACACTTGTCAAAGCACCTGTACCCCTGCCTTTACCGACCGGTTTGGACACCCTCAACGCGCCAGTTTGGCGGATGCCCCTCACATAACCCCCCACCATCCGATCCAGGCCGGCGCCTCGCCCCGCGTTCTCGGCTTTCATCGACGTTCGAAGGCGGTTCGACGTCCGAGGCCAATCAGATCTTCTGCTTCATCCAAAAGCTCCGCGACGTCTTCCTCCAACCTTCGCCCGGATGACACCTCCGTTGAAGACGCCGCGCTGGGATTTTCGACGATCCCCATGGCGATGTGCTGTGTCGCGGTGTGCTGTGCCTTCTTCACGCAGGGTGTTCGAGCATGGCGCTGGGCAATCGGCGCCTGGCCGAGGGTGCAGGATTTGGGTGGTTTCCCCCTGCGTGGGTTGGGGCAAATGGGCTCGGTTTGGGGCACAAGCCCGAAGCAAATGCTGATTGGGACTGGTGCACTGCAACTGCCTTTAATGTTCAACATTCATCGAGTCTGACCATTGACTGGGTGAGACAAATTACACACGCAAAGCAAGCATGAAGAAGCTCCTGCCTGGTTTATTAGGTGCCCAAGGTGTCCTCACCCTGAAACTCCTTGGGCCTGGGAAAAGCCAGGTGTTCCCACCCGTTCTTTGCTGCGTTCCATCCTGCAACCTGACCACTGACCGCCGGTCCAAGGTGCGTTTCCGACGCATGAGGACGCAGTGGCCAGACGTCGCCAGATGTCGCCGCCGCAGGTGTCCGCGCGAGACGTCTGACGCGACGTCGCGAGACGGGGCAGACGTCGACGTCAACCTGACCCGGGCTGAAAGTCGAGAAGGAAAATGGGCTTCGGCGGTGGCAGAACGGAGGGGATGGCAGCTTTATGGATCCGAGAGGAAGATTTGAGCCTTGAGGATCCTTTGGGGGAGTTTTAGGTGGATGGAACCGGACATGGAGTCATCAGTATCCTATGTACATTTATATTGGATCTGTCCGAACTTGCCTGCAGCAGTCAGTAAACAATCATCACTATTTTTGAACCAGGCGTGTACTAACCATCATCATCCCACTCTTACAGGGAATGGGATATTACTCTATAGTTCCCATTAGTCTCCTTATGTCTTCTTAGCTTCCAAGTTCTAAGTTCCTCCTCCCGGAGGCTCCCGCCGACCGGCAGACGCTGTCGCCCGGCCGTGCTGAGGACATTCAGCAGATCACCGAGGCCGATGTCGTGCGCGCGCAAGCGCGCGCGCGCGAGAGAACCGGAGGACGATCGAAGAGGCGTTTTGAATCACGCCGCGCGGAGGAGGATGGGAAAGGCCGGTGGGAGAGATTGGGGGGGGTTCAATGGCTACATCTTCAGTCAGTCCAACCTGACGTGCAAGAGGACCAGGTAGTTCACGCGGTGGATCACCACCTTGGCGGGGTTCGGAACCGACTGGTCGGAGCCTGACTTGGGCCACGTTGCAGTTATAGCTCCTGGCCTTTAGATCCTGGAAGTCCAAAGACTATACTTTCCCTGAGTGAAGTCAAGGAAATTCCCAGACTCAGATCCCCTAGTCAGACCATTCTTATAGTCTTTGACTCGCAGGGTTTAGAGGTTCAGGGATGTCCATGAACCACCCTCAAACAGGGCCAAACCCGGGGGCCCCTGCAATGGACCTGGAAGCGCTGCCTCCTTCTTTGTGACCCAAGGCCTCGCCCAACGGCTGGGCCTCGGAGCTCGCCATATATCTGGCAACACAGATAGCAACACCTCCGGTAAAACGCTGATGTGAAGTGGTGTTGGCGGAGAGGGGTGGACAGGGGCTTTGAACAAAAGGGGGATCTTGGTGGTGTATCAGTCCCCTAGCCTTCAGTTCGACCATTCAAAGAACGGTTGAGCTGGGTGGATTACAGTGTAAAAATCCGTAAAGCAATGGTTCTTTGGGTCAGACGATTATATAAAACAATGGATATAGCAACACCTCCGAGATGTCCAGCTCCACTTGTTTGGAGACTGCCTTCAGTGATTTGATCAGGAAGTTCCGTCACTTGGGAGTTGCCTGGGTGGGACGCATCTTTCAGGACATGGGCGAACCTGGGACTTGCGGGTGAACCACCGCAGCACGAGGGGCACCGACCGGGGGCATGGACCACCGGGAGTTCGGCACCGCGCCACGGAAGGTGTGGGGCACCGGACACGTCCCAACAGGGCCCAACGGTTCCGTCAATGTCGACAGCGGACGGTGGGCTTTTGTTGTCGTTTCTTCCAAGAGAGGTAGCCAGTGACCTGAACTAGGACCCTACTGGAGTACCTATGGGATCCTATGGGATAGTCGAACTAGGGTCCTTCAACCTCTGTTTCTTCTCCCGACCCCTGGGCGTTCCAGCACTCCAGCTGCTTGGGCTTCTTGGCGAGGCCTTTCGGCGCTTTGACAAAGACGGTTCAGGCGGGACTTGGTGTGTAGAGGAGGCGAAGCCTGGTACTGGACGTCGCTTGGGGCGTCGCGGAGGGGTAGAAGATCCAGCCGCCTGGCCGCCCTAAATAAAAAACGGGGAGTTTGGGTGAAACGCCACGTCACGTGCTAGCGTATTTGTTGGTAGATTTTCCCTGGGATTCCAACAGCTGTTTTATACCAGCCCTCCAACAGGCCACCACCTGCGACTTTTTGAGTCTCCAAAAGCCACCAGAGGAGACCTGTTGGAGGGTCCTGGTCCTGGTATTTTGTCTTTATCAACCATTGTCTTACGTTAAAGATTTTAGACTAATTACAAAACCAGCTCGTTCCCATTTCATATAGTCTCTCTGAAGGCGAGAGCCGGTGGGGAATTGCTGGAACGCCCCTACCTGCCGAGTGTCGAAGCTGGATGCGTTTTGCTGAAGAATCGAGATCAGAAGTGCTCCAGCAGCTTGGGAACCCCCCCTGCTCTCCAGCGCGTTTTGGACGACCTCTCCGTGCCGGAGGCTTCTTGGAAGCGGCCGAGTGCCGACACATGTGTGCCTACTTGGGGCCCGGGGGCCGTGGAGGGGGGGCTGGGAACTAGGCCTCAAGCTCAGTGGGGGTCGTGTAAAAGCAAGCTAGGAGTAGCACTGGAGATAACGCCAGGAGTAGCATGGAAGTTTTTCAGTGGGTTGTGCGTCCAATGTGGGATGCGTGGTTTGTTTCTGCCATTCACCTCCATTCCACCACATGAGAGATGGTCTAAAAATTGTGCGATGCGTCCGTGTGTAGGGTATGTTCTCCGAGTCTTGCAGAAAGACAGGAAGAACAACAAAGAAGAAAGTCAGAACGTGTTTGTTGGTCGTCAATTCGTTCAGGGTTGATGAAGCTTTTATACTTTTTTCAGAGCAGATACAGACTAGACTTGAAATGAAAGAATGTGGGTAACATGGGGATGCTAGATGGCACGAGCCATTCATTGCAAGCCCCCGAAACTTCGTACTTCCAGAAACTTCTCTTTTTCCTGTGCCAGCCAGAAGCGTCTTCTTCCGGAAGGCAGGTGAACTTCCACGCTCGAAGCTCCGAACTACCTTCCACCTGCAACAACTCCATAGCTGGCCGCCTGGGCGGCCACGGCTGCCTGGGCGGCAGTTGGGTGGAATTCGAAGAGGAGAGGTCCCCCCGCTTGTGAAGAATCAATCTTAGAGGATTCATTGGGACTATAAAGTAATATGACCTCCATTCACCACCCATTTACTGTCCCATGGGTCCTCTGAACATACTACTTACGAAACCGAAAGAACCTGTTCCCCCGAGATGCTGGATGGCTCCAAGCTCCCGAAAGAAACCACCTCACGTCGACCGGTTTCCGGTGTCCCAGACGCTCCAGCAGAGGTGGGTCAGAAGCCTATAGACTATCCTATACCCTAGGCTTCCAACAACCATTCATTCAATAGGCTGAATCCCGAACCAGCTAAGGACTTCACACACCAAGAAACAGTTCAACCATGTTTTAAATGGTCTTGGAAGGCTAGGGTATAGGTACTCCTGGTGACGGGTCCTATGGTCCCGGTCACTTCACCTCTGTAGGGCTCCAACCGAATTCACATCATTGCCTCAGCTGGTCGACGGAATTCACCCGCCTGGCGACCTGCACCTCCCAGCGAACCCCAGGCTCCACACGCCTCGACCCTGCGGTTCGGTCCACTCAGGTGGGGCTCGGAGGAGTGGAGCCTCATGGACCGGGACAAGGCGGTCCGACCTTCGGGTTGCGGGGGGGTCGGCTAGATGGGGTGGTCCTAGATCTGCCGTTCGATGCGCCAAGTGGTCCTAGATCCCGGCCCATGACCCGGTTTGAAGGACTGCACGACTGGGCGCGGGAAAAGGCGACGCCAGTATCTACCCCATAGACTCCATGGGACTGCCATATATGCCTACATTGGGGTGGTTTGGGGGGTCAATGTAGGCATATATGGCATACATGGAGTGTACGGGTACTATATACATGAGGTTTAGGACCAGGTTTAACTTGGCCCTTTGACTTGTAGGGTTTAAGTTCAGCAATCTTTGGAACCTGGGCGGAGATAGAGGTGCCGGGTGTTTAAATGATGCGCCTATGAGATGAAACGTGCGTAACTAGCAATCAAGAAGCATCCTTCACAATGGAATCTCCACTCTCCACCATCCCGTTCAAGTTCTTCCTGGTCAGCAGCTGGGGTGTCATGAAGCTAGCAGTGCTAGCAGGTTGTTGTTCAGTCCAGAAACTGCGAGCGCCGGGGTTGGGCACTGCAAAACCAGACCAACCGTTTTAAACATGGTCTTGGACTTCCAGGCACAATGCAATCAACACTTCTCCCAGAGTCTCCTCAGCTGGTCTACAAGGATGTAAGAGATGCAAGGGGTTTATGTTGGGCTATCCTTCCCACCCAGTTCGGTTGGATTCCTCCGTTCTCCTTCCACCGAGTAGTACCAGACCCGGCAAAGTCCCGCTGCAACGACTATAATCTTTCACCCGGAATTCCAACATTGTTTTATATACCTGGACCTTCAAGGGGTGTCCAATGGAGGTCCCTTAATGGTGTAGGGGCTTCCATTGGGCACCCCTTCTACAGAGGTTAAGTGACCTTATAGGACCCTACAGGGGTACCTTCAACTTTACACTACAACAACACCAGCTCAACCAATTCTAAAAACTAGTCTTTGAAGGCCTTCCCGGCTTCATGCTCTTTTCCGCCGCCACTGGCGCTCGTGAGGGGGGTGGCTACGGCACGAGACCGAGATCTCGGCGGGCGTTTTTAAACCCGCGAAGTGAAACATGTCATCTTGGTTTAAACACAGTTTTGCCCATTTTCCAAAAGATCCCAGCGCTTCAGGCAAGGAAAAGAGATGGCAAGAACTTCGAAACAACATGAAACCAGTTTCTGCGGCGATTGCAGATCGGAGTCCCCAAATGTGATTGGTGGCAGTTGTCCTCCACCTTCTGACCTTTTTTACCACCCCCCTCCTTCTTGTGCCCCCCCTCCTGCTAATCTGTTCAACTTGGCTATGGCCCATGGCTGCCTTTCCGTGCTGGGCCCGGCGATTTGGATTCCACGCTGCCTCATTCGTGGGAGGCTGGGAGTGTCGATCCGGATCCGGTTAGTTGGCAGGGTTGGTGGTGAGCATGGCTGCAGATGCATGCCGAAGGCCCCTGTTTTTGGGACGATGCCAAGCAGTTTCAGATCGTAATGATGGGATATTACAGTTATATATATTACAGTATCTAGGACACTAGAAGTCCAAAGGCTACATTTTTCATAATATTCCTGAACAAAGTAAAGGAAGTTCCCCAAATCAGGTACTCGAGTCAGACCGTTCTCTTCATGATGCTTGCAGGGTCGGAGGTTGTGAAACCTCAGGTCGGGATTAGAATCTGATGACCAACCCACCTCAGATTCTGTAAACACATCTCAGAATGCCGATGGTTGACCTGTCTCGACATGCTTTTAGTAGGTATACCACCCCACCTGCTGGACCAAAGGACGCAGCTTCGATCCGCTGTCGTGCCCACGCAGGCGCGGCTTCAGCCGCGGCGGTGGCTCAAGGCCGCCCGCCGCGGTCCTCGTGCCGCTGCGATGAGCCGAAGATGGTCACGAGGATCTCCTACACTTCGACCATGTGACCTAGCGGCGTGAGGTGACCAGCGGAGGAATCGGAATCGCTGGCCTTAAAGGGGAGTGAAACGAAATGAAACGAATCCAAGATGAAGAGGAGCCCCGCAACCCGGTCCCATTTTGCAGGGTCCTCTGACTCTCTCCCTAGTCTTCCTGGCCCACCATTGATTGAATAATCTGTACCGAACAACAATATGTTTGGTCCGGCCTCTTCACTAGAAAATCCAGGTCTGAGTCTTTCAGGCCACTTTTCCCATGACGAAAGTGAGGCCACCGGCCTCCTCACCGCACTTGCACTCACCCCCCGAAACCGCCCAGGCGAGGGGATCCCCAAGCGGCTCTGGCGGCGATCCGCGGCATCGTCGACCAGCCGCCCAGAAGCAGAAGCACGGCGCATCCGCGGACAGCGTGGTGCTGATGGTTGGAGGGGGCGGGGTCAGGCTGGGTGTGAAGAAGGGCTTGGAAGCTTCCTGATCCTCGTGCTCTGATCTTCGGTTTGTTCGAAACATCGTCCGGACCTTCGGGCCATCGGATCCGACGATACAAACAGGTCACCAATGAGGTTCGGCCTGAATTCTGGGCCCCTCAATTGACGACCTGGCAGTGAGGGTGCTGGTAGAGTTTCTCGATCATCGTCAAGAACCGTTGACTGGACTCTCATGGCGGGAAGGGGCATGGAATGTTCACCAGCCATTGTGGTGAACGAGAACAACCAAAAAACGATTGGGGGGTCGCTGGTTCAGGCCTTGGCGTTTTAGGGTGGTTCGGTGATTCTTCGTGGAGCATCCAGAGATGCATGTAAAAAATGGTGGTTCGCGACTGTAAAACGGTGATGTGAAGTGGTTTTGGCAGAGAGGGGTTCACAGGCCAGGTCCACGGCTGCAAGAGCCGCCCCTGATCGGCGTGATTGCCTCAGGTCCACGGCTGCAAACCTCACAGCGAACGTCTCCGGGCATATGTGTCACTTGAGCGTGATTGCTTTGACTCTGCCCGTGACTCTGCCCGTGACCAACCGAGCAAGCCGGTGGGGGTTTTGAACAATTCGGGTTGGACTGTAGCGGTATAACTTTAGATTCCTATTTCTCAGGACCCGTGGCTCAACTCCCCCAAAGCGGTGTTTATCAATCCCAATGCAGCCAGCCATGTCAAGGGCAACCCCTAGATCTTCCAAACTGTCTACCTTTTGGCTGGTTTAATTTATAGATGAACAGAGATCTACGTAGGTATGGGTCCTTACATTGCTGGACATGTCTTACTTAGCCTCCTCCGCCCGAGGCTATGACACCAAGCTGAAGTCTGTGTGGCAGGTCGGGGGGCGACAGGGCACATACTTTCCATCCGACCCAACATCGGAGGTGGAACCTGGCCCGGAAAGGCAGACAGTTTTCCGCTAGGGAGCAGGCAGTGCCATCCGCATCTGTGGGTGCTTGGATGGCACCCTGTGAGCTTCAACTGTTGGGGCAGCTCATGGAGAGTGGACCGTTGTGATTGTGGGAGGCAACATGATGGTGTGGAGAGAAAGGGCATGGCGGAGCCAAAGCGTCATGTAGAGACATGGAGGCTAGGGCTCCAACCAAGGTGGTTGGGGTGGGTGGGTTTGGGGGGTCTAACCACCTCCCGAGGAGATGGTTGGAGCCCTAGGGTTAACCAGCTCACGGATGGCTTCTAGCATGTGCAAGCCCTTTAAATTCTGGCACTTGGATGCAGCAGTTGGATGCATGCAGAACTTGGCCCGTACTGGTGCCACGGTTGGGGAAGTTTGGAGAAAGACATCACCAGGGCCCAAGAAGCATATCGAAAGACAGGGCAATGCCTTACTGTAGCTTCCAATGCTCGAAGTGCAGGTGTTGGAAGGTGCACCAGAAGTGGCTGAGCAGCATTTGGAAGCTGGACCTGGAAATGGATGGAGCACTCACAGGACAAATCCCCTCAACATGAAGAGATGAACCTCACATTTCACCCGGCGACTCCGCTGAGAAGGTGTCAACACGTCAATTCTGTGCCTCGTTAAGGCTCAGAACAAGAACGAAAGGCTTGGAAAGGAGTATCATCTAGCAGTCACAAAGGGGTGCTATCCATGGAGGTTAGGGGTGCCCATTATCCACTCACATAGGGACTAAACACCACATAACACCACCCCTTTGTGACTGGTGGATGGCTTTACTGCTTCGTTGATGTTCGCAGTTGTGCCTTTTTGCTTGCGCCTTAGACTCAGCCACCCTTTTGTAGGCACTATAGGTATAGGTCAAAAATAGATGATTTCATGCGAGGTGAACGATGGCTAGACGTATTTTCTGCATGTACTGAATGCTCTTCCAAGTTCCAGAACAGATGGCGAACCCCCCACGTCCAAACACCCTGGACTACCTGAATTCCTGTGCCACCTGAAGAACTTCATAGCCTTTATCACACGGTTCCACCTTCCAGTGATTCCCAGAAATCCCCATCCTCAAGAGTTCACCGACACGCTCGTTCGCACCGGATGCACCAGGATGCCCCAGATGCCGTTCACTCAGGTGGTGAGTCGCCTGTGGGAGGGCATCTGCAAGGACGAGCGGCACGTGGTGGATGAAGACACCGTGCACATCCAACAGGCGCGTTCGGGTGGATCCATGGCGGGGATCGGTGTTTTTTGGCGTTCGGGCGGTGTTAGGGATAGTTTGAAGGGCGGAGGGTGGGGTGGTGGGGCGAAGCTGGGATGGATGAAGGGCGGGCAGATGAACCTGACCAAGAAAGCGGGAGAGGAACCACAATTCAACACAGGAGAACAGAACGCATCTTTCAAACTCAATCGAGCTGAGCTGGGGAAGAAGTGCGGAAAAAAGAAACAAACAAACCACAGGCAGTCACAAAGAAGGGGTGCCTATTGGAGAAAAACCGCCCCTTTGTGACTTAAACGCTTTTTGTGCTTTGGATCCTAGTTCCAGATTGATTGATATTGATCGCAGCTGTGGGCTTCGTGTTGATTCAAGATGATTCAAGTGCAGTGGATGGACCGGGTGACATTCATACTCAACGGTTCGGCGCAACACCAAGGGCAGCTTATTTTTGAACACATGTCGGCTGATGTTGATGTCACTTCAACTAGAGTCACTCTGCATCACCCGTTTGACCCTGAGTGACCCGTTCGGGGGTCAAAACATGGTCTTTTCCCGGTTCTAGGACCTACTTGTAGGAATATGCTGCGGCTGGTGCCAATGCTTTCATTCTCCCTGAGCACACGAGTCGTGTGCTGAACAGGTTCTGCCGAGCACACGGCCAGGCAGACCACCGTGCCTATCCTGTGGGTTGGGGCATGCGCTGCACTCGTTTTGAACCAGGCCGGTCTGACACGGTCCTAGCATTCGTGTGCCTTGGGGAAGCCTCGTGGAGAAGTTCGAAGTGGTCGAGTGAGTCATGATGTCAAGAGATCGCGCTGGAAGGGTGTGGGATGCCATCTATTTGTCTATCCATCCATCCATCCATCGATCTATCTATCTATCTTATCTAAATCTAAATCTAAATCTAAATCAAATTATCTGAATCTATATATGTTTTTCTTTCTTTCTATCTTATCTTATCTTCTCCTCTCCTCTCCTCTCCTATCCTCTCCTCTCCTATCCTATCCTAGCCTAGCCTAGCCTATCCTATCCTAACCTAACCTAACCTATCCTATCCTATCTATCTATACCTAAAGAGCCTAGAACCTACAAATTTGTAGGTTCTTCGATAAAAGCTCGTGTTTCAGTATGGTGACCAAGGAAAACTCGTGTTTTCCTGGAAAAACTCGTTTTTTCACTATACTGCATGAAAACAGGACATTTGAAGGCTTTATGAAGCCGACCACGGTCTTTTGGATGAACTGGGTGGCACGGAGAGCATGAGACATGGGCTCAAACGTGCTCAAGATGTGGAATCTTCAGGCCCTCATGCAGTTTCTTTCAATCAGTGCACCAGAGTGCAGGCTATACTGTAATTGTAGTGTGAAGGGACTTCCACCACACATGAACCAAGGTCCCACATGAAGCCTTCATGAATTTCTATCGTCCCACAGAATTCCTGTTCAACCCTGACATCCGCTTGGATGCGGCCGCTGCTTCATGCTTTTTCCAGCCACTCTCTGGCTCTTTGCTTCCACGGTGAAGATGGAAGAGGCCAGGTTGACTCCTGCAAGAGAGCAGCTTTGTGAATGGGAACGGTCGGCAAACCTGCATGTCCATACCCATATCCATTTGAAGCATTTGGCCCTATAGCTTTTGAAGACTCAACTCAACTGTGTATAGGTTCAGCCCCCTGTGGCGCCATGAGTTCTGAAGACGTTGGTTCTGTGGAGGGCAGGGCCAAACTCGACTTGACTTCGTTGCACGAGGCATGGGAGCGAGAGCAACCCATCAGACAACTTCTCCGTGAGAAGGATGCGGTCTTGTTCTCACAAAATATTACCGAGTCAGTCAAAACCACCTGCTATCCCCACATCAAGTCTTTGATCTTGCCCTTGTTGGGGCAAATGGCAGAGACTACGGGTGCCCCGCTGCCGTTGGTGGAGCCACTGAGGGGTCAACTGGCCCTGCTGTACAAAACCTTCTCGCGGCAAGAAGATGATACTCAAGTCATCCATGACAGCTGGATGTTGAGGAAGTTTCTGTCATTCATCAAGATGAAGACCAGAACCCACAAGCCGAGCAAGGTCCCTTGTCAATTAAGGTGTAAACATCCCTGCAGCCTGCATATTATATATAAGTCGTCCTGTTCATGCGGATGCTCACAAAAACTCTATGTAAAACAAGTTGTGCACTTTGCTGAGCTGAATGGGGTCGAAAGTGTTTCAATTGTGTGGGTAAACCGTGCTCTATCAATTCAACCGACTTCCCATTCAGCACTGGTCCTATAAGGTGAAGGAGTTTCAGCAACTCTGCCTACAGCTGGATCCGTGTTTGCAGGCCCGCTGGATCAATGTTTGTCAAGTCAAAGCACTGAGCGTTTACACAACCAGTTGCATAAGCACAACTTATTCACAAAATCTCACTGTTTTTCGAGTAATCTGTTTCAATCAAGTAAACAATTCACAGAAAACACCATGGCAACCGCAGGCCCTCGTCGATGACATCAACTCAAAGGAGGAAAAAAGAGTTGCTGCTAAAAAGGGCAATGAGGCCATCTCAAAGGGTCCAGTCTTCATGTGAGGCTCTACATCTATATACAAAATAGTTTGCCTTTATCTTGCACACTGTTATTGGGTCCTTGATCCAACAAATACACAACATGTGGTTCTGACATTGGCAGGTGCCCGGTGAGATTGACCTGGATCATTACTCCGAGGGCGGGTCGGAGGAAGAGGGGTCAGGAGATGTTGAAGTTGAGATTGTTGGTGAAGATATTCATGAGGGTCCTTCAAAGCCTGGAGCTGGCGCTCAGATTCCTACTGAGATCGTTGAGCCAGAGCAGTTTGAAACTCAGCCTACCCATGAAAATGGTGGTTTGCAACCTGAGCACACTGAGCAACCTCGCCCTCCGGTCTCTCCTGAAGCTCCAGCAGCTCCATTGTCTGCAGCTATTCCTCCTGCGGACGCTGCGAAAGCCAGTCAGAAACTGAGCTAAAGTGCACAGCACGATATGAACACCAAACGTTGAAAAAATGCTTTAACTCGCGCTGCATACAAAGGGATGTTTTGATTGTATGGTGGAGCTCGTTTTTGTGAGGGCTATTTATTGGCCCAGTCTTCTTCAAGAACATGTCGCTTTTAATTCAAGGTGCTAGCCAGAAGCTGGAATTGGTCAAGAAGCGTTTGGAAGAGTGCGATCCTAAGGTGTCTCACAAATCACATATAAGAGACTAGGATGTGACAGGCCAAAGAACAACATCACGTGGTATATAGAAAGGCCCCATCTCCACACACTTGAATTGTTCACTTGTCCTAAAACATGTAGTCAACTTGGAAGCCTAACCAACGCAGTGTTTTTGTACAAACTTTTTGGTGTGTTCGAGGCTCCGCTTGAGGAAGAACGCGCAGCAAAGCTTTGCCGCTGCGCCCTCCTTGGAAAGCCCCTGCGCACCAGGCTCCACACACGATTACTTTTTTGGCCTTACACATGTTTCGTCGGGGTGGGGTGATATATATGCAATAAAATCAGTAATCGTTGCAACATACCGCCGGGATGTCTCAAAACTCTAAACACATAAAGTGTAATCGATCTCACTGTTTGTTTTTGCGCACCCCTTTGGGACTGAAATTTTAGATCCACCTGCGCCACTTCGATCAGAACGGCCACATTACAACAATGAGGCCATGTGCAAACTGCTGAAACGTGACCTCGTTGCAGGACCTACTACGTCTACATCACCACAACTACTTGGCTCAGGTGTGGACAACCATGAGACTCAGGTTTTGGCACCAGCGGAGGCGCAGGATGCTTTGCAACAGCTTCAGTCTGAGACTTCTCCCAAGCCAGAGCCTTCACCCCAGACATCCGCTGAAGCTCGCCGTGCGGAGTATGCCACTGCTTCAGGAAAAGTACCCAAACATGTGCGTGAGCAGACTCCGGAGCTGCATGCGAAGACCTCGGAGTTTGGGGAAGCAATTCTGCCATCGGCTGGCCAAGCCCAACCGAAGGACAGCGTGTGCAGCTCAATATACGTGCCGTTAAGACAGTTGCGGTATATCACCAAATCATCCATCTGAAGTGACAACTTTTTGTGTGGCTACCAAACACTTGTGGGAACTTATATATACAGAAGTCAGCCTGTGCAATTTTCTTTCTCCATCACGTGTTGCCACCATCCTTGGTTACTGCAACTTTGTTCCTAGCATCGCGTGCCAGGATGCGGATGAGCGGGGCCATGATGATTCCGATGAGGAAGGACAAGTTACCTTCGTCTTACGTGATCAGCAGTTGAGGAGCAAGGCCACCAAAAAAGAAGGTCGAGGCAAAGGCAAGAGGGGTGGAGGTCGAGGTGGCAAGGCTCGAAAGGGGAAGAGAGGTAAGGGCAAAGGTAAGAATGCTGGAGGGAAGCATGCCAAAAGAATCTCAAAGAAGAGAAGCCTTTTGACAGGAGCCAGCGCAACTGAGAAAGATCATGATCAGAAGCCGCGCAAGCGCAGAACCAAGACACCTCAGCCAGAAGCTGCTGCGCTCAAGAATGAAAGCGAAAGCATTGATGCCAAGAAAGTGGCAACCCGTGGTAGGAGGAAGAAGGATGCGGAAGGGCTTGCTGAGGAACCATCTGTTTCAGGTGCCAAGGCTCTTCCAAAGGGAAAGGCGAAGGCAAAGGCCAAGGCAGTGACTCGTGCGCCGAAGGCCAAGGCGAAGTCCAGGGGGCGCCGGAATGTGTCGCCTGAAGAGGCTCTCCTTTCAGACCCGCTTCGCTCAGACCCGATTGTCAAAGCTTTGATGGATTTCGCATCCCAGTTTCCAGCTGAGCTGGAGATGGATGGCAATCACGACAAGATGAAGGAGGCCATGAACAATGCTCTCCAGGAACCTTTGAACTGGTGCGCGCTCAACAAGTACTGGACCAGGAATGCAGCCGGTGTCAAAATCCTGGCAGCAAACCAGGATGTCCATCATTTCTCTTTCAACTTTTCCACTGCGGCCAGCCGGCACAAGCTTGCTGTGGCGTTGAGGTGCGCTGAGCTCGCTGTTTCTTGGCTATCACGTGAAAGGGGAGGAACAAGAAAAGCATTTTTGAATAAACATATTCTTAAAAAAGACATCCATCAAAGTGATACTTTTTGGTGGACCTATACACCCAAAGAAAACAAACTGACAGCATACTGCTATATAAGTTGTTATATATATGTATAGCATTTATCTAAGCAGCTTGTTCTATCCCCAGTGCCTGTCCCTTCTCAGTATATAAACAGGATCGCTTTTAATAACACACGCTTGCACAAACTATCGTCCCTTTGGTGTTGATGCCCTATACACACCTGGAATGTTGTGGGATAAAGGGTTATGAAGGAGGGCCAACGCTTGCACCTTCAAACGAAACAAATCCTGTTGACCCAAGGCAGTTGGCGTTGATTTGGAGCAAGCTGGGTATGAGAAGAATGGCACTGAGATCCAACGCTTGAAAGTGAATGGGCGCATTGCTTGTCATTTCCTGGCCAATGGGACTGGCCAAAGCCAGTTGTTCCAAAGTGAAGAGGACTGAGCTACAGAAGCTTCCCATCAGTTTGGATTTTCCTTAGGGCCTTATGGTCGAGGCAATGCGGTGCCATTGCCACTTAGCTTTCGAACCATGGGACACAGCTGCTCACCAGGGAAGCAGTGGTTCATGTTCCATGAACGGGGTTTTTGTAGGTGCTGATGCCTAGAGCTGGGTGGGCGAGGGTGGCTTCTG